AAAATGTAATATGCTTAGATAACTCTGGTCAGGTTATGCAGCTCTGAAGAAACAGGATCCTCTCAGAACAGCAGACATTTCCTTCCCCAAACTCTAATGCTAACACTGTATTACGGGAAGCCCCTAAAGAAGGTGTAGAAGTCTTACCCCTTTCGTCTCATATAGGATTCAAATAAAATATCCCTACTACATATGTATGCATGTATAGTTAGAGAGAAAAATAATGGTATTTTCAAGTATGGCAGCATGGCATAGTGGTGCAGGGCACATATTTAAACACATTCCACATTTAAACTCCAAGAGTGAATTCTAGCTCTAAGAGTTAGTAGGTCTATGACCTATGGCAAATTCATGAACCATCCTGGACTTACTTCACTTTCCTCAAAACAAAGGCAATAACAGAGGCTCGTTCTGAGGATTCTTTCAGCTAAAACAAAGTGTTTGGACAATGTCTGGTATATAGCAAGTACTTAATAAATGTAAGCCATTATTATTTTATGTTAATTTTCTCATTTAATTCTTATGACACACCAGTGTAGTAGGTATTATTACTCTCATCCCATGGGTGAGGAGAGTTAAGTAATTTGCCCAAAGTCACACAGAGATAAAACAGGACTGGATCTGTCCAGGTCCAAGCCTACGCTCTTACTTCTACCTAATACTTCACATGTTACCTACAGGTCTCGCTGTTATGTCAGCATAACATTTATCAAGGTGTATTTCAATTGCCTTTAAACTGATCTCTCGCCCTCAGAATAAACTCTGTGAGGACAGAGACTGGGTCCTGTTCATTCATTTCAATCCATTTGTCCCCAGTGCCCACTCATCCACCTTTCAGAGCTTTTGTGCCAGGCATTGTTAGGTCCTGGCATACCCTGATGAGTAGAACACACAGGGTCCCTGTCCTCATGGAACTCAAAATCTACCCCAAAAGACAGATAATCAAGTAAGTACAGAATTACAAACTGGTATAGTTATAAAGAAGGAAAAGAATGGGGTGCCAGAAAAGAGCAGAAAAGATGAAATTCATTTAGTGGGGTGAAATCCAAGAAGACCTTTCTGAAGAAGGGGCACATAAATTGAGATGAGAAGACTGACAAGGAGTCAGCAAGGCAAAGAAATGGGGATATGAACCACTTGTGTGTAGAAGCCTAAGAAAAGACTTCATCTGGCAAAGCCAGTATGGCTGGAAATGAGCCAGTTTGGTGGACAAATGTGAGCGCAGGGCAGACAGGGACGAGATGAGAAGGGAAAGGTGAGAGACCAGAGCACACAGGACTATCAAGAACTTGAGAGTTGATTCTCAGTACAATGGGAATTCCGGGTGGTTTTTAGAAAGTACACTCTATTTTTTTTTTTCAGTATATGAAATTTATTGTCAAATTGTTTTCCATACAACACCCAGTGCTCATCCCAAAAGTAGAAAGCACACTCTAGCTGCAATGTGGAGATTAAAATGAAAAAAGACAGAAGAATCTGGTATATCCACTGGAATGCTCAACAGCAGATGAGGGGTGGCGTGATGGCAGTTTGGGACTAGGAGGGTAGAAGCGAGAGTTGGAAAGTGTACAGGTTTGATGTATACCGCCCCCCCCCCCTCCAAACCCCACCACTCCATGCAAAACACACTGCATGACAGGAATAGGAATTCGGTGACGTGTGGACTGACTGAATGAGTGGTTCCTCAAGCAGAGCCGCTGCTGGTTCTAAGGCATCCACTATCCCACAGATGCGTGACCTCCCCCTGAGCAGTACAATCATCTAGTGGACGTGAGAGACATGGGAAGATGCGGAAGAAATGATGATTGCATTCATAATCCAGCTGGCAAGACTCCACTTACAAAAACCTCTTGATGTGTAAACGTGTCTTTGTGAAACAAAATGCCTCTCCCATTCTGACAACGGAAAATTTCAGAAGCCAGATATCTTTCTGCTATATGGCTTTCCAAGCTTGTTAGAGAAATGTATTATTTAAAATAGCCTGGAGCTATGCTGCTAGAAACACCGTAAAACACGAAGGGCGCTGAAAAAAGTCCTTTCATTTAAGAAAAAAAAAATGCTGTAGTTACAAAGACAATCTCAACTCGTTATTCTACCTTCTTTCTTGTAAAAATATGGTCTCTGTCATTACTTCCTAAAATGGCAAAATATTTTGATTACCTATTAGCAACAAATTCAAATGCAGAGTTAATACATTTCCTTATAATCTGATAAATTCACAAGGTCAGGACACAGAATGTCTTCCCCATATTATTTGATAATTTTGACCTTTGTCCATAAGACATTTATTTTGCTAAAACTATAACTAAAGCCATTTGAAGGGTGCCTGGGTGACTCAGTCAGTTAAGTGTTGACTCAGGACATGATCTCACAGTTCATGAGTTCAAGCCCCACATCAGGCTCTCTGCTATCAGTGCAGAGCCTGCTTCAGATCCTCTACCTGCCTCTCTCTGTGCCCCTCTTCCATGCGCGCGCATGCATGCATGCTTTTCTCTCAAAAATAAACTTAAAAAAAACAAAAAACAAAAAACTAAAGCCATTTGAAAAATCCAAATACTTGTTTGTCCATGTGGGTATGAGAACAAAACAATCTATGACTACAGTCAAATGAACTCAAAGTCTAATAATTAATTCCACCAAATGTTTCCCTATCCTTACATAAGCCAAGAGCATTCATTAATAATAGGGTAACAGAGGCGCCAGGGTGGCTCGGTCAGTTGGGTGTCTGACTTCGGCTCATGTAATTCATGGTTCGTGAGTTTGAGCCCCGTGTCGGGTCCTGTGCTGACAGCTCAGAGCCTGGAACCTACTTCAGTATCTGCCCCACCCCACCTGTGCTCTCTCTGGATCTCAAAAATAAACATTAAAAAATTTTGGAAAAAAAAATAACAGGGTAACAAAGTGATAGTCTATTCACAGCAGCTGCTCTCTTGCTGTGACTTAAGTTAAACCTAACATACTTGTCAATTTCTCAATAATTGAAGCTTTAGTTATTATCAACTTAGTTAAAACAGTGTATTGCCTAGGCCTAAAACAGAATATTGCCTAGGCTAGGGTGATAAGCTCAAGTATTTGAGGACACAAATAAAGCTTAATTTTGCATAGAAAAAGAATGCTCATCAGCAGAAGATTCTGCTCCAAGGTCAAGCCAAGAGTCTTACACAGCTTTGATCAGAAGACCAACCACCAGTGCCTCCACTGCTGCTTCCTAAGAATCTAAAAGCACCGGTGGTAGAGATCAGAAGAAAAAAAGGCACTGCACTGGATTTCTATATAAGAAACTTAATAAGCTTAAAAATAAAATATAGTTTGCCTCCTTCCATTTGGTAGGAAACCACTTTCCCTTACACTGGAAATAAAGCTTTATATGGTACTCTGTACCTTTAGAATGCCTTTAGAGAGTCTTGAAAAGGCTTTTTCTGCAGAACCAGGGAAAGATACATAAGAGCATCAAATAAGTTTTTGGTCCTGTTACTATAAGAACTATTTTAAAGAATTATGGTAATCATGGCAGAGGACAATAGAAAATCTTAGATATTTACTGAGGTTTAAAGTTGAATAAAACGAAGGCAAAAAATTGTTCCATCTGTCCTTTGTCTTTCAAGAAAACAAGACTGTATATTATTACCTAAAATTCATATTTTTCCAACATATGCACAAATCACTAATAATGTACTTCGCATAAACAAAGAGAAAAGAATAACCTGAAATTTATGTTATTCTCATTTTATTAAGAAAGCTCTTCTTTCCTCTGCGCTTGCACCAATATAACTAGTACAAAATTACCTTCATTAGTAGGAAAAGTTATTTATTCCAGCAGGGAAAATAAAAGACTAAACTTAGGTACTGGACAGCTATTAATTACAAAGAGAAATGAGAAAATACCATACTTTAAGTCTAAAGTTTTAACAAATGTGCAAATTTGTTAGTGAAATTGTAAGGAATATTCCATGCTATATGAGTACATAAATCAATGCATTATTTCCATTCTCACAATCATCTCAGACCACAGACAGCTCAAGTGAATTAAAGTTGTATATTCTCATTTTTCCTAAAATAATCTGTTCATAGCAAGGCTATTTAAAACAAATATATTCCAGAGCACGGGTAGCTCAGTCGGTTAAACACCTGACTCTTGATTTTGGATCAGGTCATGATCTCACGGTTCCTGAGATCAAGCCCCATGTTGGGCACTGCACTGACAGCATGGAACCTGCTTGGGACTCCCTCCCCAACCCCTCTCTACCCCTTCCCAGCTCTCTCTCTCTCTCTCTTTCTCTCAAAAATAAACAAAACATTTTTTAAAAATAATAAAATAAAATATATTCCAAGCCATTCATATATCAACACTGAGGGCCAATATTTCTAGACTAAATAACTACTTTTTTTTAAGTTTATGTATTTATTTTGAGAGAGAGACAGAGAGCGCATGTGTGCACATGCAGGAGGGGCAGAGAGAGAAGGGGAGAGAGAGAGAGAATCCCAAGCAGGGTCCGAACTATCAGTGCAGAGCCCAACGTGGGGCTCAAACTCACAAACCATGAGATCATGACCTAAGCCAAAATCAAGAGTCAAGATCAAGATGCTCAACTGCTTGAGCCACATTAAGTAAATAACTTTAAAATGAGGTATTTCAATCCATTGTAATCCAAACACAGTTTTCAATAGCATAGAGTACAAAGTTATCCCTCATTTGAACCAAAAGTTCAAACTTATAAATTATTTTTTTCTTCATGTTATAGGTTGTTTATTGTCAAATCCATAGTCCTTTGATATTTTCTTAAACAGATGAAATTTGCTTTTTTCCCCTTGGGAAATGACAGACTATAGAGATAGCTGAGAAATACGATTAAATTAGTTTAATTACTTCATGTCGGCTTGGTAAGTCACTGCTCTTTAATGCAAAAACTGCCACTTGTAATTAATGACTGTCCATACTGGTCCAATTGATCAAATGTCTAATACACATAAAACATTGAAAGAAGTTCTGTATATCTTACAGCAATTCAGTGGAGAAGTCTTGTCCCAAGGGTATGTAAATCTGAAGTACAAGAAACCTCTGGATCAGTCCAACTAGAATGAGAGAGGAAAAATATACATTAATATGTCCCAGCCATTTATATGTGCATATAAACACACACAACCACACACATTCAACAATCTGAAGCTTTTAACGTTTCAGTAATACAGACCTGTAATAACACTACCCAGGAGTTACAGCCTCATTATAAAAGCAAAAAAGTTGATGAAAATCAAACGAAACTCTAACAACAAATGTTGCCTTTTAAACTCCCATCTGTAGGGTGAAATTTTTATGAAAAATTAAAAAATAGTAATTTTTTATTTACTATTTTTATTAAGTTGCAAGAGAATGTACACAGAGGACTGCATTCAACAGAAACATATAAAATTAAACTACAGATTCCCATCAAGGCAGCCATAAAAGCGTGTGGCAATTATTTTTATCCACTGACAGTTTTAACTGTACTAAACAACTTAATAAAAAACAATAGATCAAGAAAAACAATTCTAATTATGACAAGTACAACTGAAGGTTTGATGAGCCATATCTAGTTCATATGGTTTTAAATGTGTCTACAGTGAGATGGATGGAGGAATGTAGTTTCATTTATAATACCTTTTGCTAATTTAACATACTTTTAATTAATTCAAAGCTCACAAACTGCAAACTGCTTTTATTCTCCATCACCAGCTTCATCTGAATTAAAAATATATGAAGAAAAGCCAACCCCTACGGCACTTTTGACAGCTGAAGTGTACAACTGTTTGAAAAACCAATTGATTTTATATTACCTCTTCAGACCTACTCACTTAATTCCTTTTCTCTTAGGTTTTGAACCTTTGCTTGATCTCTCAATTACGATGCTCCTAATGGATGTTTTAGAATCACTTCCTCCTAAAACATCCCTTTTAGGAACTTTTTTCCTCATGTGGGACTTCGTTAGGAAATGGAAATGTTTTCACTTATCTGTGAACCTGTCCTACAAATCTAATAGTATAGGGCAATGCTTGAAGAGGCAACTGGTCTAAGATGCACATTATTTTCTATTTATTCTGATTTAGGAGGCTTAACAAATTTAAGTATTTTAAAGTAACAATACATGCTTGGATAGTCTATATATACCTTCTTGTTTAGAAATTCCTTCAGTGAACTGTTTTGCAACATTCCTGAACAACTTGGAGTTTCTACATTTTCCCTGAAATTTAGTTTCTAAAAAACAAACATATTAGGTCAAGTCTGCTTACTACTTTTTAAATCAGACATTCAAGGATAACTTTTACTTATAATGTCAAGCTTATAAACTGCTCCAGAGAGCCATCCATAGACTAGCAATACAATGGCATTAGGGAGTAACAGGCTCTGACCTTTGAAAATTCTCTAGGAACAGGATTTTACTAAATTTATGGAAAAAGTCAGCGAGGCAACCTGAGTTCTGGACTACAAAACCAATGTGAGACACCAAGAACGAGGCCAACTTGAATAAACCATCATTAATTAATCTCTCTCTTGCATCTTCCACTGATTTTTCTATTGCACAACGGCCTCTGTATGTAGAGCTGAGAGAGCACCTGGATAAATGAAATCAGTCTTCACAAAGGTCCCTAAGTTGTGTCCCACATCTCACTGAATCAGCACTGTTCTCTTCAAACACAAAGAGCTCCACATATAGGGCATTTTCCTATGAACATTTTTAGATCTGAAAGACACTTGCTCTTAAAAAAAGAAAGCTTTGTAATTCTACTTTCTCACATATAGAAGCCCTAGTTTCCAAAAGGCTTCACTTCTAAGATTAAAAGAAGTATGACAACACCATATGGTGATGATCTGACAAAGTAAAAAGTACTTTAATAACATTTGACATACACTGATCCTGTGTGTCAGAAATGCTAAATAAACTCCCTAGTAATTTTTTTTTCCAGTGGCCTAGTAAATTTAAACTGACTCTTCATGTCTACCTTATATTGAAAATCACTCTAACTAATGCTGAATGTGAACTACTAGTAGTCCAAAAATGCCCGAGTATATAAAAATTCATAAAAATCTAGTTTTTTACTGAAATACACAGGTTTCTGCAGTTTTCTAATCTGTTTTCTGCTGAAATTAATTACCTCTATTTTTAAGGGCTCAGGTCCTTTTCTCCTTTGAATATTTTCAAATGCATTTAACTGGTAAAACACCATTCATTTTTTAAATTTTTTTTAATATTTATTTATTTTTGACAGAGAGAGAGCGCGCGCACACGCGCGCGCATGAGCGGGGGAGGGGCAGAGAGAGAAGGAGACACAGAATCAGAAGCAGGCTCCAGGCCCCGAGCCATCAGCATACAGCCCGATGCAGGGTTTGAACTCACAGACTGCGAGATCACGACCTGAGCCGAAGTTGGATGCTCAACCAACTGAGCCACCCAGGTGCCCCAGTACACCATTCGTTTTTTAAGCAGTGGGTTTTATAGCTGTTCCCTCACAGCCAGTAACAGTTAGATGCCGAACACATACCTCACGAGTGTTTGTTTTACCGTCCAAGAGTTTGGGACTAGAACACCGCAAGGTAATCCTTTCCATATGTCCTGCTAAATCACAGCTGAAGCTATTTCCTGGTTCCCAGCGTAGTCCCAGCACAAACAGCCTGCTAAAGTCCACTCTTCTACTTCAACCCAGAAGATGGTAAACGGCTATGCCTCTGTTACTGGGCATTCCATATTCCTCGGGCAAATCAGAAAACCTTTCTGGGCTCTTTCACTTTCGTGTGTAAAACTGGGTTAATAAATTAGATCTGTACCTCACAGGATTATCTGTATGGATTAAATTAGATCTATCATTCAATAAAGATTTATTAAGCATCTACTACATGCCAGACTCGATGTGGACATTTTTGTAGTGACTAAGACAGCCACGGTCTCTGCTCTCTTGGAACTTCTATTCTAGTTCCAGGAAGAAGATCAGGGTGCAATGAAAGCATATAATCGTGGGTCGTTGGAGGAAAGAGGATGATGAGTGAAGGTTCTCTGGCAGAAATAACATTGGAATTCAGCTGAAAAGAATAAGCAGGGGTTGAGTGGGCAAGGCAGATGAAGGAACACATATTACAGGGAGAGGGAATACTCCATCATGTGATGAAAGAAACCATGGTATAATGGATGGATTGAAAGACCTAAAGGGCTGGTAGGAGAGTCAGAAAGGGAAAAGCAGCAGAAGGTAATTCTGGCAAATAGCTAGGATCTCAATCTTTCAGGACCATGAAGGCCATCCAAAGGATACAGGTCATCCCAAAATCAATGGGAAGCCACTTATCCATTCATTAATTTATCCCACACAGATTTATTGAATGTCTACTATGTGTTGGGCACTATTGTAGGTGAACAAAACACACTGAATTTCTGTGTTGGGGGTGTTTGCTTTTTGGCAATGGTGAGAAAAACAATTGGTAAAAAAAACAACCTTAAGAAACAAACAGCATGTTAAATGGTGAAAGTACTATGGGAAAAAGTAGAGAAAGGTAAAAGGAATCAACAGTGTGTGGAAGGGATATAAATTACAGGGCAGATGGGTCTCTCACTGAGATGACTTTTTTTTTTTAATGTTTTTTTTTTGAGAGAGAGAGAGAGCGCACGCGTGCACACGTGCACGTGCACATGAATGGGGGAGGGGCACACAGAGAGAGGGAGACACAGAATCTGAAGCAGGCTCCAGGCTCTGAGCTGTCAGCACAGAGCCCAATGTGGGGCTCGGACTCAAATGGTGAGATCATGACCTGAGCCCAAGTTGGACGCTTAACTGACTGAGCCCCCCCAGGAGCTTGGAGAAGATGACGTTTTAATAAAGGCCTAAAGGAGGGGAAAGGGTGAGCCATGCAGCTATTTGGCAAAAGAAAGCTCTAGGCAGAGGATTACCAACTTATGCATAGGTGCTAAGGTGACAGGGCAGCAGGCTATGTTTGAAAACAGCAGGGAGACCTGTATGGTTGCAGCAGAGTTAACAACAGAAAGAGTAATTGGAGGTAAGGTCAGAGAGCTAAGAGGGCACCAAATACTGCAAGGTCCTACAATCTTTGGTTTTTAACCAAGAGAGATGGGGCATTTTCAGGAGAGGAGAGCCTTATAGTTCAAAGTACTGCTCTAGCTGTGAAATTGACAACAATCTGTAGGGAGGAAAGTAAAAAAATACAGGGAGACCAATGAGAAGACAGCTGCATGAGACATTCCAAGCATGAAGTAACGGTAGCATTGGCGGGGACAAGAAGTAGTAGACTCTAAAACTAAGTTAAAGATAGAACCAACAAGATCTTCCTGATGGAAGGAATGAAGAAAAGAAAAATTGGACTGACATAAGTTTTTTTGAGCCACTGAAAAGACAAGTTGCTAACAACTGAGATGTGGCTGTCTACAGCAGTACGAGTAATTTCTAGGGTTAAGCAGTCCAAGTAGAAATGTCATACTAGCAACTGAAACTACAAGTCTGGAGTTTGAGAGGGAAGTCTGATTTGGAAATAAACGTAAGCTGGAGTAAGACAGAGATGGCATTTAAAACCATGAGACTAGCACCGATAACCAAGGGAGGAAATGCAGAAAGAGGGTAAAGGGTCAGGTCCACAGGCACTGCAACATTAAGCTGGGTTGAGGAGAAGAGGAAGAACCATGAAAGGAAACTAAAAAGGAAGATGAGTGAAGTAGAAAGGGAACTAGGAGGATGGGCATCCTGGAAGATGAGTGAAGAAAAGGGTGTCAACTTTATCAAATGCTGTTGATATGTTAAGCAAGATGAGGGCTGAGAATGAGCCACTGGATTCAGGAATAGAGAGATCACTAGTGACCTTGACAAGAGCATTCTCAGTAGAGTGGTGAGGTCAAGGCCACTGAAGGGTTTTAAACAGAGCAAGTCATAATGACATTTATTTTAGAAAGAATACCAAAATGGGAGTTGGGGGAAGCCTGGGGGAAACCTCATAAAGATGACCTCATCCTCCAGAGCAGCTGAAACTCAGATAAACACAAGGCTTCAGGGATGCTGATCCCAAAAGAAACACCATTGGATCCAGATGCCACTGGCAAAGAAAACAGTGATTTCAAACAAAAGCCTTAAACAGAAAGTCCTGGGACAGACCATCCACATGTCCGCATGTGACAGAGCTGCTCCATAGCGTGATCCAGGATGAAGAGTAGCATGGAATTATTTATTTAGTTAATCATTTACTTAAGTCTGGTTAGGAAGGTGAACTGGCTATAATCAGAAATTATGACCCAAATTGTTACAGTTTCTTAATGTGGACTATTTAACAAACTTAACAAGCACCAACTATATATGATATGCTAAGTCAGGCGTATGAAGAGATGGTGCAAGATTCGTGCACTGGAGAAGTGTATAATCTGATCATTAATATCACATTTTCCTTTATCTGATAAGACGTTAAGTAAAAAACAAGCAAAACTCTGGCATTCAGAGATGCTCAAATATAATTCAGAATATCATTACTTAAAATGAAAAGTTAGGGGAGTCTGGGTGGCTCGGTCAGTTAAGAGTCCGACTCTTGATTTCGGCTCAGGTTATGATCTTATGGTCATGAGATTGAGTCCCACTTTGGGCTCTGCATTGGGCGTGGAGCTTAAGACTCTCTCTCTCCCTCTTCCTCTGCCCCTCCTCTGCTACCACTCTCTCACATGTGCTTTCTCTCAAAAAAATGAAAATAATGAAAAGTTAAACATACTTACTTTTGTCATTAAACTTTTTTCCTAAGTACCTAATATAGTAGGAAATACATATGGGGTACCTAATGTCAAGTCTGCATAAATAAAGTGGATGTTTGCTCTTAAAATAGGAGTGTATAATGGTAACTGAATTAAATTTAGAAATGTTAATTGAAAGCTAATTCTCCATTCAAGACACACCATTTAAGTTTAACAACAGCTTCACTTAGAAGGTCATTTTATACTAGTAAAAATAGCTATAAAGTTCCGTTATCAAAAATTACAAATAATTAATCTTAAAGGCATTAGTACAAGGCAGACTCTGTAAACTGTTCCATTTGTTACAGTACCACACATGCTACAGAAGAGCCAGATTAATTTTTAATTGCAGGGCATTGTACAAGAAATACATTAAAAGAGTCTTCTTCTGTTTCTTCCAATTAAAACTATCATTTTTCCTTTTAAAAAGCAATTATAACACGTTAAATTTGTTTTATTTCTAAAAAAAAAAAAAACTTACATAAATGTAGGTAAAGGGAGCTTGTCTTTAGTCACTGAGCCTCTGGTAGAGGAGAAATCTTTCTCAGATCCAACTGAGAAAGGTTACCAGAAGTGATTTGATTTTATTGATAACATGATTATGTGCATAGATGCTAAGGGCATTACACAGAAGTACAGGCCAACAAGAGACCTTGGTTTAGAACAAAGTCATGTTCCTGCAAATCAGATATATCCATCTCACAAAGTCAATATCCTTAAAAAAGAGATGGACCATGTCTCCTGTAGTAAGAATAACCTACAGTTTCAGGCATATTTCTCTGGCTCACCGTACTTAGTTCACCTCATTTATAAGCATATACATTTTTGAGGAAATAATTTAAAAAAAA